CACCTAGGCCACAATCTTGGACACGACACCCGTTCCAACAGTCTTTCCACCCTCACGAATGGTGAATCTCAGACCTTCATTCAACGCCATCGACTGAGACAGCTCAACCAGCATCTCAACATTGTCTCCTGGCATGATCATCTTGCCTTCGTCACGGTTGGCGTTGCCGACCTCATTGTCTGGCCACTTGATGGTGCATGTAATGTCCAACGTGCGGGAGTACAACTGGGGCTTGTAGTTGTCAACAAATGGAGTGTGACGACCACCTTCATCCTTGGTCAGAACATACAATTGGGCAAGGAAGGTTGTGTGTGGGTGAATCGATCCAGGGAAGGCAATGACTTGTCCACGACGGAGCTGCTCACGCTTAAGACCACGCAAAAGAAGACCAGCATTGTCACCAGCTTCGGCACGGTCAAGTTCTAAAAAGATATAAATGGCAATATGAGTCCTTTCGTCCTTGTAAAAATTTTCGTTTTTGACGCGTTCCAGGATTGCTGCGGGTTGACCGACTGACCTTTGTGGAACATCTCAACTCCAGTAACGGTGGTCTTTTGAGTCTGTCCGTAACCAATAATTTCAACTTCGGATCCCTTGGTAATAACACCACGTTCGACACGTCCAGTGCACACAGTTCCACGTCCAGCAATAGAGAAAACGTCTGATACCCAAAGCTAAATCGTTAGCAGCCTGTTTTCCTTATTGCGCTGGAAAAAAAAAAAGATCGCGCACCTTCAACGGGCATCAAGAAAGGCTTGTCCAAGTCTCTCACGGGCACGGGAATAGATTCGTCCACAGCGTTCATCAACTTCATAATCGCTTGCTCACCCAATTCTGGGTTGGTGTCGTTCAGGGCGCACAAAGCAGAACCCATGATGATGGGCACTTCTTCACCGGGGAATCCGTATTCGGTCAAAAGGTCACGCATTTCCATTTCCACCTGCACAAATGTTTGGAGAATTAAGCGACGCCGTTTTTTTTTTTTTCGAAGATTGGCATTTCGATAATACTCACAAGTTCCAACATTTCCTTGTCATCAACGGCATCCACCTTGTTGACAAATACAACGATCGATTCGATACCGACTTGGCGAGCAAGCAGCAAATGCTCTTTTGTTTGGGGCATTTGACCGTCAGTTGCCGAAACGACGATAATAGCACCATCCTGATCGAATTGGGCAAAAAAGGGGGAGAGCAAAAAAAAAAAGGATTAATACGAATTCAGCACCCCCATAAATGTCCACCAGGCTAACCATCTGTGCGGCACCAGTAATCATGTTCTTGATGTAATCTGCGTGACCTGGGCAGTCGACGTGTGCATAGTGTCTGGCAGCAGTTTCGTACTCGACGTGGGTCGAGTTGATGGTGATACCACGCGCCTTTTCTTCGGGAGCCTTGTCAATAGCGCTGTAGTCGACAAACTTTGAGGTTCCAGCCTTGGCAAGGACTGTTGCGCGATTGCTTGGGGTTTAGAAAAAAAGCGAAAAAAAAAAAAAATGGAAGCGGCCCCAAGTGGGAAACACGGCGCTTTACCTTTGGTAATGGCAGCAGTGAGGGTGGTCTTTCCGTGGTCAACGTGTCCGATGGTTCCGATGTTGACGTGTGGCTTTGATCTGTTGTAGGTTGAGTACGACACTGCGCCTGGAGTTGTCCGAGTCTCAGCCAGCTGCTTTTCGATGAATCGCCCTCAACGGCGCTTAGCAAGACCACTCACCGCCGAATGAGGCTGCAACCCATTTGTTGGGCTGGTGCCGCTGTTTCAGGATTGCGCTCACAAAGAGTCTTCCGATTGCCGTCATTTGTTTGGACAAAAAGAAAATCAGATCGAAGCATTTTTTAAAAAAAAAGCGCAAACTTGAATTTTACTCCCTTCACTGCTGACTTCCCCCACACAGCCCTGCCATGCACACACACACATTCATTTCTCATCGCATTAATCCTTCACAACTTGCTCTTCCCATTCCCAGGTGTCGCTTTCATCATCGCCGCAATCTCATGCAACACTTCAGGATCCTCAATCGTGGCCGGGATTCCATACACTTCCCCATTAGATATGGCACGCAAACTACGCCTCAGAATCTTGCCGCTGCGCGTTTTTGGCAGCCGGGGAACCACCACAACCGTCTCAAAGCAAGCAACCGCACCAATCTTTTCGCGAACTGCGGCAACCAATTCGCGTTCAACGACATTTGGTTTTATGGCAGATCCTGATCCATGTTTCAACACCACAAACGCAATCGGTTTTTCCCCCTTTAGCCCGTCCTTTTTCCCAATGACAGCACATTCTGCAACTGCTGGATGACTGGAAACTACTTCTTCAATCCCTCCAGACGAAAGCCGATGACCAGCCACATTCAAAACATCATCGCTGCGGCCCAACACAGTTACATAGCCATCTTCATCAATAAAACCCTGATCAGTCAGATCATAATAACCTGGAAATCGTTCAAAGTAACTGGCAAAAACATGAGTTGGAAAGATTCACCAATGATGGAAAATCAGTATTAACTCACCTTTTCATGTAGCCAGAATGGTTTTTCCACAGTGTCGGAAAACACCCTGGTGGCAGCGGCAGCTTAATGACCAAGCTTCCAACCTCATTAGGACTTGCTTCGACCCAAAAGCGATGCGCAGGCTCTCCATCGTCCGTAAACTCATTTCCTGGCTCGCCTTTCATGTTCGAACCGCCGGATTTTCCACGGCTTTGCTCCAGAGTCTTTTCAAAAGCAGCGTGGTGCTTGGGTGGAACCAACACTTTCATGTCAAATCCAGGAACAGGGGGCCCACAGGATCCCATTTTGGGTAACGTCAGATGGCCTCCGTTTTTTGTTTCAATCATGCTGCAAGGTCCAGTTATGGGCGTACCCGTTTCGGTTTGCCAGAAATTGTCGCGCAAAGGCACACCCAGCTTCTTTGTGAAAAAGCAAGCCGTGTCTGGATCGCATCGCTCTCCCGCAATGAAAACGTTGACAAGACTTTTGAGATTGTATTTTCGAATCAATTGACCGTTTGGATCTTCTCTCTATCGATGGACGCAGTTTTGTTGCAAAGGTTAGTTTTTGTGCGATTGTAAGAAGGGGAACTTCGCGACTTACGCGTATCGCTCGAAGGGCAGTCGGAGCAGTGTAAAGCGCGTTAACTTTGTATTCTTGAACAATTCTCCAGAACGCAGCAGCACCGTCCTTTGGCATGACTGGTTTTCCTTCGTACCTTTGTCACATAATTAGATACAGTTAAGAGGTAAACATTGGAAAATGAGTTACAAGACAGTCGCACAGCCTTGCAACAAGGGTCCATAAACAATAAATGTGTGGCCAACAACCCATCTGATGCAAAAAAAAAAAAAAAAAAATGGTTATGAGCATAAATTCATCCTAATGTAAATGGGGCATAATCTTTGCTCACCCAATGTCACTTGCTGAAAAGAACACGTCTCCTTTTTTGACGCCCAGAATCCAATCCATCGCATGTTTAAGCGCCAGAGCATGGCCACCAACGTCGCGAACGACACCTTTCGGTTTTCCCGTCGATCCAGACGTGTAGAGCAAGTATAACGGAGAGTTGTAAGGCACTACTGTGGGCTCGGGCATGGCATTTAGAACGGCAGTTTTGTACGAGTACGGAGTGGGGAATGGAACGTGATTCGCAGGAAATGGAGTAATGGACAGTTCTGGACGGTTGAACAGTACAAGATGGGATGGCTGATGCGTTGAAATCGCGAGGGCTTCGTCCATTGCGTCTCTGGAACAAACAACAGAAAAGCGTAAGGGTCGCAATAAGAGAAACACGGGAGAACTCGAACGACGCACTTGTACGGGATAACTCTTTTTGGCTCGAGCCCACAGGACGCGTAAATGACGACCTTTGGTTGGGCATCTTGGATTCGCTTGGCACTGGGGTTGGTTCATCAGAAATTAATATTCTTCAAGATTTTTGACACATGGAAGACAGACACTCACAGTTCTGTGGCAGCAAACCCGCCAAAGACAACGGCGTGAACTGCGGCAATGCGGACGCACGCGAGCATGGCAAACACGGCCTCAGGGACCATTGGCATGTCTGGGCATCAGAGGAAGGAAGGAGTCCATCAAGACGAGATGAGATGAGATAGCGGTGGCGCTAAAATTCAGGTGATTGATGGCAAAGAGACGCAAGAAAAACCGCTTACATATCAGAACAACGTCACCCTGAGTCACGTTCAAGTCCATCAAGCAACGAGCCACCGCACGCACGCGGGTGTCCAGCTGCGAAAAAGAAAAGGCAAGCTTGACACCCTTGGTCGGGCCATCGGAATGGTTTTTAGCAGATGCAGCGTCGGAGGCAGGTGTCAAGGCATTTGCAAGAGGCCCGTCGTAGAGCAGTGCCGGAGCGTGTTTGTGGCGGGGGTCCGCCGCGTGTCGCCCGACCAGGTTCGTGTACAGGGCCAGTGAAGCCATGTCCGCATTTGTAGGGGTGAGGACAGTTTCCTCTGCTGCCTGGGCACGGTTGCCAAACACGGGTGCCACGCCCCACTCGATCCCTTTTGCAACGCCCTCCCAGTATGCTCCAGCCTCTCGTGTTGCCCGCGTGCGCATCTCGGTCTGGGCAGATGCCGATGCGTGATGCAGTGTTTCCTTTGCATGAACTGCTTTGCGAACTTCGACCATTTTCGAACTGATTTTTTGTGGGAGAAATTTTATTCTCGCCTGTCCCCCACAATCTTATACCAGAGTCAACATTAACGCAGAACACAACCGACTTGGACATTGGATTACCAGCTGCAGGTGCCCCTTACAGATTTATTTGTTCATACCTACCTTTGATTGGCTATACTGTGATAATTTTGGACAACTGGACGACTGGACTCCAATAGCATTCGGCTGGTAACGTCCTTCGAGAAGGTCTGCACGAGCTGTTGTTCAGTGCAAGCATTGACATGGGCGGAGAAGCAGTCTGAGGCTGCTGCCCAGATTGTATCACGTTTCCGTGAGCAACAGCAAAACAATGGAAAGAATTTCAAAACGACAACGGCAGGACTTGAACCTGCGCATCCAGAGGATAACAGATTTCTAGTCTGTCGCCTTAACCACTCGGCCACGTTGTCTTGAAAACACTCAAATTTTGGCACTAATATCTTACAAATATATTCAACAACTGATTGCTTGCCCAAAACATAATCCAAGTGACTCTCTTATCAGGCTTGACGTTCATAACGGCAAGCGTGCTTTAAAATGAGTTCTCTGTGTATTCGGCAAGGCCGCTGTCTGGTTTATGAGAGAAGGAGGTGGCATTTCCTTGCTGATGCTCGTGAGGCGTTTATAGTAAGCGGACACAGCGAGGCACTTGACTGAACCTCGCTGACATCCGCAAAGAAGTTATCAGCAAAAGCATTGATTTGTTTCTGTGACTGTGTCACCAGTGAGTGGCCAAGTGGCGTTATCTGGTTTTTTCGGCAAACGCTGGGGAAAGGGCAGACAGGGTAGAAGAAGCAGCGTCGCAGTTGCGAAGAAGCGAACGAGAAGCATTCGGAAGTTGAACGCAAAAAGACCCAAAAAACAGACGTGTCGCCGCACACGCAATCGCCAACTTGCGCAGCTCATTCTGCGACTTTTCCAGCTCGAAAAGCACGGAAAATTCAATCATTCCTACGGTCATGCGGCCCGCATGTGACATGTCAGATGTCAGACGATGAAATTGTTTTGAGCCCGCAACGCAAACGCATAAATTGGGGGCCCGTCGCTGCGGCCAACTACCAACCAACCCGCTCACTCAAGATGCTTCTCAGTCTCTCAGCTGCTCTTGCCTTTGCTGTCTCGGCTGTCACGGCCGCCCCCGTCTCCTCCACTCCAAACAGAGTCGTTGGATACCACCAATCCTGGTACTTCTATGACAACGGCAACCAGCCATTCACTTGTAAGTCTGGCCCATTGGCTGTGTCTGCGATGCTGAACGAATTCACCCATTTTTGCCTTAGTCACGCCAAACATCATCAACAGCTACACCCACATCAACTACGCCTTTGCCACCATCCATTACCACTCTAAGACCAACCAGTTCTACCTCGGATTCACCGATGCTTATGCTGACTACCAGGCCTGTGTTGGAACCTCCTGCCCCACCGAGTGTATCCCAGTCCCTGTCTCCAAGCAGTGCACAGGCCAGAAGGTCGCCATGGTCCCCTTCATCGGTGCCAACGGAACCTGCCCAGACAAGGCCTGCTACAACCCTTCCGGCGCCCCAGAAAGCCCACGTAACCCAAAGTGCGAGGCTGTCTTGGACCCCAACGGTATCCAGTCCGACGCCAACGGCAACCCAGTCATTTGCGGAAACTACGCGTACGTTTTCAACAAAATCAAGAAGCAGACTGGCGGTAGCAAGCTCAAGTACTTGATCTCCGTTGGTGGTTGGTACGACTCCAACCTCTTCTCTGCCGCCACGGAGCCACAGTACATTGACGCGTTTGTCAAGAGTGTTGCCGAGTTTGTCAAGTTCTTTGGCTTCGACGGTGTGGACTACGAGTAAGTCTTGTTGTTGATGACGCGGTAGTTTTTTCCCTTTCCTGACATTAGCTTCTTTCAGTTGGGAATACCCAGGATGGGAGCACGGTAACCAGGCTCCATTCAGCGGCGGAGCTGCCGGAAACGGAAATGCGGAGGACATGACCGACTGCTCCAAGGGCAAGTGTGGATACCCAAACCGCAACAACGATAAGGCCAAGTTTACCGCGCTCATCCAAAAGACAAGAGCTGCTCTCCCCAACTCTCTCATCTCCATGGCTGCCCCAGCTGGTGAAGACAAGATGAACAAGCTTGACATCAAGGCCATTTGCCAAGCCATGGACTTTGTCAACATCATGACCTACGACATCCATGGAGAATGGGACACTACCACCAACCACCAAGCTCCTCTGTACGATAACACTCCAGTGGATGAACAGTCCGGAATCATGACCTCGGTTGATTACGCAGTCAACTACTTCATCAACAACGGATGCCCAGCCGACAAGGTTGTTGTGGGTGTTCCCTTCTACGCTCATGCTTGGAAGATGCCCAGCAGCTATGTCGACAACGGATCCCACGGTCTCTTTGTGAAGGGAGCCACGGCCTCTGGCAAGACCAAGCTCAACTACATTAACCTCGCAGCCGATGCTTCCATCACCAAGTACTGGGACGCTACCGCACAAGCCAGTTACGGATACAGCGCTATCGACAGAATCTTCTACTCTTATGACACTGAGCAAGCCATCAAGGCAAAAGTCGGATACGGTGCTCAAAAGGGTCTTGGAGGATTCATGGTTTGGCCACTTGACGGTGATGACGCAAACGGTACTCTCCTCAAGGCCCTCACTGGTCCAGGAGTTACTCCATCCAGCCCAGTAACCACCTCCAGTGCAAAGCCATCCACCACTTCTGAGAAGCCGGCTTCCTCAAGTGTCCCCACCTCTGCTTCATCCCCACCTGCTCCTTCTTCCCCTGTTTCTTCCCCCCCTGCCCCTTCGTCGACTTCCTCGGCTGCTGCCTCGCCAACCTCTGCCTCTGCAAAGCCAAGCTCTACAACTGCTTCCTCAAAGTCGACCACCAGCAAGGCAGCATCCACAACTACCAGCAAGGCGGGAACTGCCATTTCCAACGGCGCCCCATGCACAGTGTTTGGACAGTGGGGATGCTCCTACCAATGTATCTGCAACTACGCTGCCGGAAACGTGCTCGAGTGGCAATGCAACCCCACCAACGCCAGCTGCTGAGAAAAAGATTCAACAGTGACTCCCTGGTGGTATCACTTTCCTTTTTTTGTCGTCTTCTTCCTCCTCAGATCTGAGACTATATGATACAAGTAAACAGTCGAATAAAAATACAGTTTGAATTTGTCAGTTAACTCATTCGATCCCTCTTACATATTTATCCCCATTGTTTTTATTCAAGAGAATCTGTCCATTACCGATACATAACGTGTTATATCATATGCGCGGTTAGACAGCCTCAGTGGCGTATTTTTGGTCAGCTTTACCATCAACAAGATCACCGCCTTGTCTCATAAGATCATTGGCCACTTTAGCGACATAGCCTCCTTCATCCTTAGATCTACGTTTTTCCGCCACATCCTGTGCTTGAAACTTGGCTCCATCTTTTGTTTGATCCTTGACTCCATCCTTGACTGCATCCTTGACTCCACCCTTGGCTGCATCCTTGACTGCATCCTTGACTCCATCCTTGGCTGCATCCTTGACTCCATCCTTGGCTGCATCCTTGACTCCACCCTTTACTCCATTCTTGCTTCCCTCCTTGACTCCATCTTTGACCTCTGTTTTTTTGGTACCATTGCTTGGTTCCTGATTCACAGCAGTGACCTGGTTCACCTCCTTTTTAATCGTTGAATTCGCGTTCGCAGGCGGTGGTGGTGCAGCGGTACTATTCGCATTCGCTGAAGCCGTGTTCAAAAGCATTCCTTCACTGCCACCAAGTGCGCCTGCCGCTGCCGCCGCTGCAGCCCGAGCCCGAGCTGAAATCCTGATTTGCTCCGTCTTGAGACGCATAATAGCGCGATCGATGCACATTTCGATTTTTACGTGGTTTTCAATTAACGGTACCTCTGTGGGTCGAAATTTGTTTTACATGAAGGGGGGATGCGGAAAACAGCCTCAGAGAAAAAAAAATCTTACTTGGCCAAGTTGCGCGTTCTCCAATAAACGTCAACTGTTCCGTCAGTTCCACATCTGGGTTCGTAATCAGTTTCCTGTATCCCCAGAATGAAATGGTTGGAACAATGGTAATATCGCCGCTGTATTTTTGGACTAGAATGGATTTGAGTCTGTGCAAGATTTGCCAGTTGAGACCAATCTCTGCCAGCTATATATGAAGCATAAAAAAAACGCGTCAGTTGGAGAATCGAACGAAGTGAATACACAAACATAAAAAACGTGGTGGATATATTACCAAACAAAGTCTTTTACCTGATTCAAACGATGCAAAGCCTCCGTTTTAATTAAATACGCCAAGTTATTGGCAGTCCGAAGCAGACAATTTTCGCTTAGTGTCTTATTAAGAAATGGCATAATGTGGGGGTTGACTTGGCACACGATGAAGTGGTTCACATCGAAAAGTTCGCTGATTCTCGCCATGGGTAAGTCTCTGCACCGCGAACAAAGGTTAAAAAACCAAAATATATCCGCGCGGTCGGGGTGTAAAATCTCACCCTTCTACACTCCCATCAATCCATCGATGACCTTTTTTTTTTTTTTTTTTTGAGCGAAGGGAAGGGAAAAAAAAGGCGTCAGGCCCCATTTCAAGTTCTTTGAATTTTCACGTGTGTGAGTCACCTGATGGATTCCAAGACTCTAGATCCCCTTTTGCGGTTTTAAACATGAGTGGAGCAGAACGATACATCATAGGTAAAGCACATGATGCCGCACTTTTTTGTTGCAAAAAACCAAATTTTCAGCATCAAAAAAAAAAAAAAAGGTGATAAAGTGGGGCGAAAAAACAGGGCCACCTACACTGCAGACCAGATGACCTTGAATTTCGTTAGAGTAAACTATGAGAAAAGTTTGGCGTATTCGAAAGACCTTGAAAAAAATTTTCGACTGTTACCACATTCGGCGCCGTTAAATAGTTGAGCAGTCTCGGCATTTCGTATTGAGTGGAACTGCTCACAGCAATGTTCAAAACACGCCGTGATTTGTTGTAAGCTTCTTGAAACGTGATGTCACCACCAAGATTCGCTTTGGCAGCCAAGATGAAACTGGAAACATCAAAAATGCAGCCTGGAGTTTGCAGTTAATAACATGGGAGTTTCAATGCCAAAAAAACAAAAAAAAACAGAGGCGCACCATGCTGCACTAATCGACGTATTTTGGCAAAAATGTTTCCAACTTCAGAAGGGTCCTCATAGAAGTTCTACTGACGCGCTTTTAAAAACGGTGGCTTTGAAAGACAAAAACATCACAAATACAACGATTCGCTACCTTGTTTGTCAAAGATGGATCCATTGCAGCTTCAAAGTTATCTTCAGTCTGAGTGCAAAGAATCGCGGCAACGATAGAGCCGGCCGAGGATCCGCTGATGACGCGCGGCAGAGCATTCGCTTGATACAACGCTGTTTGAAAAG